GCCAGTTTGTGTCTGTTGCCCCTTGTACTGGGCACCACTGAGAAGAGGCTAGCCCCATCCTCTAGCCATCCACCCTTTAGATATAAGCATTGATCAGATCCCCTCTCAGTCTTCTCTTCTCCAGGCTAAACAGACCCAGCTCTCTCAGCCTTTCCTCATGCTCGAGCCCCCTCATCATCTTCGTAGCCCTCCGCTGGACTGTCTCCATTAGTTCCCTGTCTCTCTTGAAATGGGGAGCCCAGAACTGGACGCAGGACTCCAGATGTGGCCTCACCAGGGCAGAGCAGAGGGGGAGGATAACCTCCCTCGACCTGCTGGCCACGCTTTTCTGAGTCCACCCCAGGATACCATTGGCCTTCTTGGCCACGAGGGCACACTGCTGGCTCATGGAGAGCTTGCTGTCCACCAGGACTCCCAGATCCTTCTCCGCAGTGTTGCTTTCCAGCAGGTCAACCCCTAACCTGTACTGGTGCTTGGGGTTAGTCCTCCCTAGGTGCAGGACCCTACACTTGCCCTTCTGCTGTGTCGGCCACTCCTCCCAGTTTAATGTCATCAGCAAACTTTCTGGGGGTACGCTCTGTCCCCTCGTCCACGTCACTGATGAATATGTTGAACAAGACCGGACCCAGCACTGACCCCTGGGGCACCCTGCCAGCTACCGGCCTCCAAGTGGACTCTGCGCCACTTAACACAACCCTGACAAGCAAAGTTTAAAATCCTTCATAGAGTTAGGGAAGACTTCCCCCAGTCCTTGGGGGGAAGACATTCCCTGCAATTAGAAATCAAATTGGAGCTGCTTCTTTCAACTGCAAACCTTCCTCAGATTGTGAAATTAAAGATGAGTTTAGTTTGAGCAGTGTCTGCTCTGTATGTGATGGACTTTTCCTACTCCCCCCTCACCTATATTCTAAATAGATGATGGGAGGGAAGAACCATAACTGAAATGTCAGCATTACTCTTTTCTCTAACATCCAGCATATACTTTAATAAACAACAAATTCTAATTGTGCAAATGCTGTGCTGCTCTTCCTACCAAGAAGAAACAAAACAAATTTATTTGTCCTGTAATTGTCTGGCTGTTGCTCAAGTTCTTTTAAAAATTGTCTTTTTCCTTGTGTTTTTCTTTTCAGTCGTGTGAGAGGTGAAGTGAAATATTTTCCTGCCCTCCCATTTCTGTAAATGATTTGTTCACTTTTTTAAAAGGAAGATTTAGTATGATAACTTTTTAATGCTTGTGTCTTCCATGACACTAATTGTGATTTTGAGGGGCTTTCTTCCTTTGGTTGCTTACAGCTCAACTTTGTGTCAAAGCTGTAACAGATTATGTCCTAAGAGATATCACTTCTTACATCTGTACAGTAGTGCTGTTACTGATTTTTAAATTTTTTTAAACTTTAACCCAGTTTTTTGTTATTGTTAAATATAACCAAAACAACCGTTCATATTTTATTAATAAGTCTTGGGTTTTGAAAATCTTCAAAGTTACTTTTGAATAGGATTTTTCTTCCCAGCTTAAACTTGTAAAAATCAGATGCACAAGTCTGGACTAGTGACCTTGGGTTCCCTCTTTACAGAGCGCAGCAGGCCAAAAATTAACTCTGTCTGTTTCTTTCCAACCATTAAAGGGAGTTTTGGGTGACTAGTTCAAACTTGTGTGTCTAATTTTTAGACCTTTGTAAGGAGAGATGAGTCCTACTTTTCATGTTTGGTCTGGAAGAAGTGAATGTTTTGAAATGTCAGCAATTGCATAGTCCTTACTTGGTTTAGAATTGAGCTTGAAGCATGTGGGATGTGCTCTGCTGCTTGGATATTGAAAATCACTCTCCTTCTCAGTGATCTTGCACCGATGAAGTAACAACTTTTCTTATGGTCACATCATGGAGAAGCTTAAAAAAACTTAGCTCAATTTTAGTGGAAGTCACCAGTTGCAGGAGCAGGACTTTTTTTTTGTTTGGGACTGTTTGGTAGAAGTTCACTGAATAAGTGAATTGAAAGTTCATTTGACTTTTTTATGAGAATATGCTTTCCTAGAGCCACAGCTCATTTCGTGCCACTTGATTAGATAAATTTGGGGTGTGGTGTTTCTGTCAGTCTAAATGTCTGGTTTGCTTTCCTTTCAGCCTTTGCAGTCAAGCATTGAGAGAGTCCAGTCTGCAGGAGAATTTCTTTAGTCCTGCTTGAAATTGATTTCTGTGCACCAATAGGATTAATCTTTCTAGTAATAGATTATAATAGATTATCCATGAATGCAGATGGCCTTTTAGCAAAAATGGAGGTAAAGCTGTTTTCCAGCTTTAAATTCATCCACCAAAACTACAGTTTTAGTGAGCCGTAGTGGTGTCAGTTGTACTTCAGAAAAGCAGTAAAAGTTTGTTTGGAAAGTGAAGGAGGGAACAACTCTTAATTGTGGTCTTTTCTTCCCCTTTTGTCTAGACATGAACAGAACATTTCCAGATAATGTAAAATTCCGCAAAACTGCTGATCCTTGTTTGCAGCATGCACTCTACAACGTACTGGTAGCATACGGGCATCATAATAAAGCAGTAGGATATTGTCAGGTATGTAATTACTTGTATTAAAACAATGCTGCATTTCACCAATGGCAATTGTTCTTGTCCATTTTAATGTGCGTTTTTAGAAGCAAATCCACAGACTTTCTGTTTTTAAAATGGCCTTGGGGAGGGAAGAAATGAATTGCTTCAGGCAAGCTCAAATGCTCTTGTGAGTTTCTCCATGGCTTTTTTTGTAGCTTGCTTGATCATGTTTGGATCCATTGGTTAGCTGCAAAATAAAGGTTTTATCACATGTGGTTGTATCAAGATTAGTTGCTTTGGAGAGGAAGAGAAAGCAAGCTTGCCTTCCCTCTTCCTCCCTCCTGCCATCTTTCCCAAAACAGTCCTCAGTATGTACAAGGAATACTGAAATCCCAATTTCCTTTGTTTTCACTGTCACATTTTTTGAACTACAGGAAGATCAGTGTGTGATATCACATAGTTGGGTGGGTGGTAGCATTTATTTGGTGCCATCTCCCAGTATGGAGAGGCAAGTAGGAAGACAATTTGTTTGAAATTCAACCTGATACTGCTTAGATAGCAGCTCAAAAAAGCTCCTGTCCTCACTGCCAAGTACTGTAAAGTTACCTGTGGGGCACAAAGAAGATAAAAGTTAATTCATAACAGCCAAGAACAAAGAGCCCATCATTAAGGATCATACAGAAGCAGGAACTGTCATGAGCAAAATGTGTTTTCAGTTCACTTAAGTCCTCCTCTCTCCTCCCTTTCCCCACCAAGGATACATGTGTTAACCTATACTTCATGTTAGTTGAGGAAGTTAGTACAGTAAATACAACTGTTCTAAAGTTAAAAGAGTATTATATTATTGAAATCTGAAGAGGAGAAGACGTAGAGGGACTTACCTAGACTGAAGTCACTAAAACAAATTATTTTTGTGCATCCCAACCAGTTTTTCTACAGAAATTATTTGCAAAATGGGAGTAAAAGATGAATTATTTTTATTATTTTTCAGTACTATGTATTTATTAAAATAGAATGTGTAATATTTTGAGAATAACAGAAGGGGTAGAATTGTGAATATTCTCTTTTGCAAGTGTTAGGCTCCTATATAGAGGTAGTTGTACCCACAAACATGTACAACTTCTAAACCATGCTGGTTTCTACCCAAAATAGATGTCTCATTGTTACTAAAAAGTTTTGGTACACTAACTATTTAATCAATGGGCCGATCTTTTCATTTTAACTTGGCATTATGAACACTGGAGATGAAAGAAGACGACTTAAAAAGCCTTAGGCGATTCCTTTTCACCTTTGGGCTCCTAACAGAATGAATGTTATTTATTCTGTCTAAATAATTGGAACATGAACCAAAGGCCAGCATCTGCTTTCCAAGGCATGTAATAAATCAAGCAAAGTTTCAGGAAATCACCTTTTCTGCTAGGGAAACAGCAGACTTCATCAAGATAGATATAGCGGTACCCACTGGGTGATAGGAGAGATCTTGTAAACACTAGAAAATTCAGAGTGAAAAATGGAATTTTAAAAGTGTTTTGCAGAGCTTTTACTGACTGAAGGCTCTTCAGGGGATGTTTACATAATGCTGGTGCATTTGTGTTACTTACTGCCATGTGAGTCTCCCACCTTGGGAGTATGTTAGGCTTTGCATCGCCATGCTGTGACAGTGGTACAGCATTGCCTACCCTTGTATGACCGGGGAAATTCGGTATCCCATGAGCATATGCTCCAGAGCAGCTTTTTGTGCATGTTATGTTAAATGCCAAACAGTTGTTTGTCACTGCAGATGCAATTAGTAAGCTAACTGTCAGCATGGAAACAAATAGTTGCCTTCCCAACTAGAAGGCCAAGTACCATGTAAGGCCATGCAAGGTCCATCCAAGCCATTTGTGTAACACCTGCTGTAGTGACTCAAAGCTTGAAAATGAAACACTGGTTTGTCCTATATTTCCATGTTCTGGGAGTGTTGTGAGGCCTTCTAAGATGGGACAGGTGAGTCAAATCTGTTGAATGCGAGAAATGAGATCTCCTGCAGCACTGCAGGATACCCAGAGACAGTGGTGCTGCCTGTGGCAATAGATGTGCTGGAGAAGTCCAGCTCAGAGGGAGAGAACAGGGAGAAGGCCAAAGAAAGAGATGAAACTGAAGAAGGCAATGTAATAACACCAGCCTTCATAGCATGTAAATATTTAAAGATAATTTTCTGCTAGTTTAGGAAGACTTTGGGGGGGGGGGCGTTGCACCTCAGAGGTAACTTTGGTATCTTGTAGCACTGATGTGCTGTGTTATTACAGTTGTCGGCTTGTTTCCAATGGAAAAGACATACTTAAAATGCTTCAGAAAGTGGACTAGGGTGCATGTAAATCAGTAATATTGGCATAACTTAGCAGTGGTATTGAGGATACAAGAAAAAAGTGCCTGAGACAGAGGCAATGTGTTTACAGGAATACCAGTTTGTGACCCATGTGTTCTGTATGTCACTTCTCCAGTCAGAGACCATCAGTAACAGTTAGAAAAATTGTACAGGTGGAATTTGGTCAGTCATGACTTGACTACTTTTCACAAATTTTCTGGTAGCTCTTTCAATCCCCCCATGCCCTGGTGTTTATCTTCTGTTTACACGCTGAAGGGCAGGAGCTATAGTGGCCAGTCATTGACTATAGTGCACATGGAGTACTAGAGGTATTATGGAAGTAAATGATTTGTATGTAGTCATTTGATGAGTTAAGCAGCAACAGCTTGTAAAAGCTGCTGGAGCTGCAACTTTTTACTAAAGAGTGTTTGGGTTAGGTATTCTGCAGCTGCACCTGCAGTCTACCTGCAGCTGTGTTGTGTTTGTACTGCACATCTAAGGCAGCTGTGGCTTGGTAGTCTGGTCAAAGCAGTCTTCAGTTACATTGGGACAGGGCTTTGGGATTAAAAAAAAAAAAAAAAAAGGAAAATTGAAGGTAAATTATAGACTCCTAATCTTTTTCTTCTAATTTTCCTCTCCTTGATCTTAGTTAATAATTCTTGTTAGCTGTTGTCATGCAGGTTTAACAGCTTACTCCTAATCTTTTTCTTCTAATTTTCCTCTCCTTGATCTTTGTTAATAATACTTGTTAGCTGTCGTCATGCAGGTTTAACAGCTTACTCAACCGGTGGCTTTCATTACTAGTTTTTACTTAATATGTCCACTTTGTAGAACTGTAGTAATTTAGCCCTTAATCAAAAGAAATAAACTGGAAACTCTTAAGATAAGTGTATGCATCTTAAAACACTTCTCTCTATTTCAGGGCATGAACTTCATAGCTGGATACTTGATTCTTATTACAAAGAATGAAGAGGAGTCCTTCTGGTTGCTAGATGCTCTTATTGGAAGAATATTGCCTGGTATGCTAAAAACATGTATAGTTGTATTCATATATTGGAGCTTGGCTTTTATTTTATCTTTGTATTCCTCTCCATTTCTAGAGGTTTTAGATGTTAAAATGGACTTGCACATACTAGAGACTTTCTAGGGTCCTGGAAACACAGGGCAAAGATACAGCACACAGGCAAAACTTGTCTGTTTTATAGTCAGATTTTAGTCTTGATGTGGTGGTTTACGTGTATGTTAATCTGCAGTCTTACTTCCCACTCCCTACTTAGACCTGCTAGGTAGATGTGTTCTTATATCAGTATGGTGCTGGGGAACAGGACTTATGAAGGTGTCTGGGATTTGGCAGTTGTGGTTGCAGGAATATGATGAGAGTCATAGATGAAGCAGCGATTGCAAAGCAAAGATGGGAGATGTGCACAGTTTGAGCACTGAGCTTAAAGTAGGAATTCTTAGTGCCTTGGCAAGAGGCAGCCTGAGCGTTCTTCACAGGTATTTGGCAAGGTGGTTGCAGTTTCTCCTAGACATGGTAGTTTCTCCTAGACGTGGTAGTTTCTGCTGTCCCCCGCTTCTGAGCGGGGATCCCTTGGGGACTTCATGTGTTGTGATTTTGCAACAAAGCAAACAAATGCCAAAATCCCTGTCTGTACCTGTATGGGAAGTTCTCATCAAAGCTCTGTTATAATCAATGGTGATCTAGCTAGGTTGGTCAAAAGGGTCTAGAGGGAAATTCTGCACACCCTAAGCTATAGATAATACCTACATCTGGTGAGTTCGGTAGCTCTCCAGGTTGCCTTGCCTGGATCTGTGGGTTTGCAGGAGGTGTTTACACAATGAATTTTGCTCCATGTATAAGCTGAATCTCACTGCATGTGTGAAGGAGTTTAAAACCAGAAGCAGATGTCAGGCACAGCTATGCTTTATACTCCTATGAAGTACAATCGGGAATGTTCTTTCTTGGGATTTAATTATAGAGGAAGAGTGGTTTCACTGTGAATTCCCATTAGCATTGCACAGGACTGACTACAGCTACACCCTTAATGTAAAGCCATATTCCATAAAAATGGAAGACTATTTTTTCTATAAGGAAGCTTTGAAATTCCCTGTTGGACCAGTTTTGCTTTTGAACAGATCTTTATACCAAATGGCTGGAGGCTGAATTCAATATTACAGTGTCAAATAAGTGCTGGTCAATGACATCAAAGTTGATACTTTCATTTGTTTCAATTTTTTGTTTGTTTGTTTAATCTTAAACAAGAACAGAAAAGTATATAATTTTTGGTTCCTTTCTGAACAGACGGGAAGGACTTTGAGAAAGAAGGAAAAAGGTTGAGGAAGTCTTTTAATGCTTTTGAATGACTGTAAGAAATTATCTTTTATGCTGAATACACTGTGTAGCAACCCAGGTTTTCCTTGCATATGAGCAGAGTGATTGGACTTTGTTTGCAGATTGAAAGAACCAGGCAGGGAGTGCTATGACTTGTTGAATCAATCTGCAAATATTTGAGGTTTTGCAGCCTGAAGTTTACTTTTAAGCTATAAAAATAGTCTAAAGAAATCAACTGTCTGTTGCTTTTGTTCAGCCTTGAGAGCTATAAGCTGCGCAAACAGGTAGGAGACTTGAGGGCTGCTGTCTGCCATGTGGCCTGCCACTGGATGACATGGCTGGATGTCTTTCCATTGACATCACTGTGTGAGAGATAAGGCCCTCAGTAAAAAGCAAGTTTCATTGAAAAGTGATGTGTGGCAACTTTTGCTGTTAATCTTTTTGATAGTCTTATATGTTTTTATTTGGGGCAAGGGAGTAGATTCAGAACTTTTATTCATTGTTTTTGGTAGGGAATGTACTTCAGTTTGTCATAAACCCCTTAGTTGTTCTTGCATATCCTTCTTCTACACCTTGCTGATACCTAAATGACTTAAGTTGCTCTTATTTATCCCTCTTAGTTGTTGAATTTATCTTACTCCAGTAGCATTGGTGATGAGCAGAAATTCATAATATGAAAGGCAATTACTGTGTATAAAGAAGATGTACATTTACTTAAGGTATATTTATAGATTAATGTTTACTACCTTGTAACAAGAGTCTTGTTACGGACTTTGCCCTGGGTTCATCACATCCAATACAAGCATACCTCTGAGGTGCTGAAGTTAGAAACATGCATGCTTACATTTCTTTGATAGTCAGTGGGGAAGGGGATATCTGATCAGAACTGCTGATCTGAGTGTGCCTCTTTCCCCTCCACAGTCAGTTTTACAAGAGCTTGAGATGTTCCTTCCGGCTTGGGTGCCTCAAAAAGAGCCCAAGTTAGGTAATATGAATCTTTTCTGTAGTAAAAATATTTATATTGAGTAATACAAAGCTTTGTTTCAGAAAACTTGTTGCTGATGCTATATTTTTCCCAAAAATTTTCTTTATTTTTCCCTTTTATTCCCAGTACCCTCCTATACTATGCTTGAATTGTACGTTTGTAAAAGTCAAAACATGATGGATAAAATAATTGGCATAATTTCAGTGAAATATTATGTGTGTATATGTGAAAGAGAGAATCAGACAGGCAGACAGTATCCATAAAGAAACTTGCATAGGTAAGTAAGTACCGCCCTTCTGTTAACAGTGCAAGGTACAGCGCATTTTGGTTTAAAGCCCTGTAATTATTTGTTGGGGAAGTGGAGAAATATTCTCCAGACTTTCAGACGGAAAAGTAGCAATCATTTTTTGTTGGATGCCAACAGTTTGATTAGCCAACATTTTTCCTTTAGTTTTCTTGCTGATGCTCTTTTCTCGATCTGTTTGCATTATAATCTACATGTTTTCCTCTTTCATTCAACAGATATGCCTCCAGGTCATGTCCTCGAGTGTGTCATGTCACTGCCAGTTAAATTGATGGTGATTTATGACAATACAGAAATCCCTTCTCTGCCCTCTGCAGTGTCCCTGTGAAAGCTTTCCCCCCCACCCTGCCCACACTCACTTAATTAGATTAAACAGCTGCTCTGGTACTGTGATGTTGACAGCATTTTTTTGGTCAGCAGATGAACCAAGCCAGCCACAGATTAGTGTCATTGATTGAAAAATGCAGAATGTGATAGATGGGAGCATTAGTGGCAGCTTTCAGGGGAAGTGACAGAGAAGGGCTCGCTAAGCTATGGCTCACCTCCCCACTTGTTTTTTAGGTCTGGGTGGAGGTATGTACCATAGGATGTGATGGTGTGACTGCTCCACCCACTGACAGGAGGGGGACAGCTTGGGAATGGGACCCCATCAGTAGAAGTCTGCCTGAATTGTTCTGTTACACCCAAACGGAGTTAGCACAGCTGGAAGAGAGCGCCAGCAAAAATTACCATTTGGTTTGTTGGTCTGGGGAGTGGTGTGCGTGCTGTTCATCTGGCTGAACCTAGCACTGCTGGGTACAGCTGGGTGAGGCCAGAAAGATCCTGCTTCTGCTGAAGGCAAGCCCATAGTCTACTGACTGTTGCATCTGTCAGCTGCTCAACCAGGGATTTGGAGGGATTAGGGGCATGTCTCATTTAAACACAGCAAGGGGAAAGAGAATTATTTGTTTAACTGAAGTCTTGGGTGTTACAAATATCTTTTATTCCCAGGTTCATTCAAAACAGATGGCTGGAGCAGACAGTATTGCCCACAAGAAGCAGTATGGATTCAATTCAAACTCAGAGTGGATGTGTCTGCAATTTCTATTCAGCATAGCTCTAGTGTTTCTGTTCTGTTCATACCTCTGGTTCTTGTTGGGAAATTTTTTTGTTATGTTGAAGAAATATTGGAAAGGTTGCTTTAGAAAGCATTAGGGAACTTCTAACTGTGGTACTTTGGTAAGTAATTTAAGAAGCATAATTGTCATGTTTACGTATTTGTGGTTAAATGGTGAGTTTGAGAAGAAAAAAACCAACAATTTGAACTCAGTTTAGCATGACAATTATGCTTATATATAGCAGAACAATTTTTTTTTCCACTTCAGTGGTTTTCAGTCTGAAAGCAGCAGTGTTTATCAAGCTATATTCTAATTAGTCTACTAGGCTATCATACTGGAGTTATTTAGTCTTACTGTGTGGTGGGTTGACCCAGGCTGGGGGCC